ATCTACTTGCATAGGTAATTAATCTGATTTAATATTAAATCTCTAATAACATAATATAATCGGAAAATTTGTATGGGTGAAAATTACAAAAATAAAAAAGGACGGGCATACTTCGCATGCGGGCGCAGCCACTGTTGTGGCTTGGGAAGTTGGGAATGTAAGGTACGGACGGAAATCGAATGCATGTCTGTAAGCAACGATAAGCCATTGCTAACGAAGAAAGCGATTCTGAGCGGAGTTCGGTTGATAGTGTTGCTTCGTCAACAATATAATATATGTCATATTATGGTAAAATAATTACGACAATGTGCGTTTCAATGATAACAATGATTGTTTAAAAAAATGATTAAAATAATAAAAACTCGATAACAACAAACAATAAATAAAAACGGTTACCAACGACAACCTTGTTTTTATTCTTTCGATCTTTTTTAACCTAAAGAACCGGGTTTACCTCATCGTCTCGAATATTAATGAGAATTTCAAAAAAATCGCCTCTCTAAAGTACCGCCAAGAGAACATTTCCTCTCGGAAAAAGTGCTGTACTCGGAAATCGGAGTAATCTCTCCGGTAGAAAAAGTGTTCACATAAAAAAAAAAAAAAAAATTATAATAAACAACCTTTTGAAGGGACCAATACGTTCCCCGCTAAACTCAGAATCTGAAAACCGTTTGTTGGCCTCGGCAAGGAGAATTTCTCGAGAGCAATACTGGAATGCATAAATAGTACGGACGAGAAGACGACAAGACGGACGACGTGTTACGATTTTAAAATATTCGCGTAAAGCGTAAAACGAGGTTACGGCCAGTTGACCGGCAACGATGATATTATCGTCGGCTATCGTACCGCGCTAATTACCAACTAATTAATAATTGATAATTGATAATCTCACGGGCAACGAGATAGCGGACCGATCGCGCCCGCCCCGCAGCAGAGTTATTTAGCGTTCCCCGTCACTCGGCTGCGGGCTGCCCCGTTCTCCGCGGCTGCCCCGTTCTCCGCGGCTGTCCGTACGGTTCGGCGCGCGTATACTTTTCGACCCGCCGCCGTTGGCGCAGCCAGTGACCGAACACTGGTTGGGGTGGGGGTGGGGGGCGCTGCCACAACTGTGGGTGAAACGCGAGATTGCGAACGCTTAACATTTATCGCGACACGGTCGCTAACGGCCGAAGGTATTATTTTGTGCCGAAACCGTCACACGATTCCCGGACGAACTTTGGCGCGACGTTGCCAAGTCGTGCGACACTGTCCGCCGAGCCCGACGGTTATCAATTTTACGGTCGTGGTCGAACGTGCCGTCTGCAATGAACGCCGTGTTCCCCGTCCGCAAATTAATATCCGACACAGTTGTCGAGCAACAACAACGTTTCGGTCATCGCGAACGCGGACGAATCGATTACCTTGGAATCGGGGGGGAATAAAAAAAAAAAAAATCACCGTTGTGCAAGTTTGTAAGTTGATCGACTGCTTCGTCCGATGAACGTTTCGGAAACGTTGTGCAATGTTTTCGCCGCTTTCCATACGCGGTTTTCCTCGCGGTTTTTCGGACGGCCCGTCGACGAGAAGCTTCACCCACGCGTAGCGGAACCCGCCGGGATCGTAACCGACTGGACAATTTTGTTAGCTATCTGACTGCGACGATAACGCCGGTGTTATTAACGTAACATAATCGTCACGGACGATTTGTGCCACCGCTGCTAGAAACGTCAAATAGAAACTCCCCCCCCCCCGCCGCGTAAAACAAAGAAACGCTCTTTTTAGATTCTCGGTGGAGCGAAGAAGCCGTACGGTTTTACACGCGCGTTTATTTATTTATTTGTTTGTTTTTTTTTCCCCGCGAACAACTTTTCTACAGGCAATTTCGCTTCGACCCACAGTGACGGGTCGCTTTCCGATTTTCCCAGGATTTTTCTCAGCGAATGTGAAAGAACGGGAAAACCAAACAAACATTGTCGGAGAAAATTCCCGGCGCCTATTTAATCGGTCTGCCATAACATGACGTGCACGCCGTCGACACAGCATCGCTCTCAACCGGACCTCTGTTCGGAATCGTTTTTTTCGTTCCGTTAGCAACGTTAGTCAATCGTTGCCCGCCGATGTACATTTGATCTCACTCCTGTACCCGACCGTCGCGACATGCCGCCCGCAACAACGGTCGCGAAACGCGTGTGCCGTCTCCGCGTTTCCGTCGAATTCCAGACTTGCGTGTGAAAATCGATCAACCGTAAGACCGTACAGACCGTACGCGTGCGCCTACCGGTTAGGTTACGCGATTTATTTACGCGAACGTCAACACGAATAACGTAACGCGAAAACCGCGCGCCGGCCAAATAACGTTTGCGGCTACGTTTCGTTTTGTTTATCGCACGCGCGTGTAATCGCGACCGTGGCAAATTGCGTTTCTTAAATCTGTTTTATTCCGCGACTTTACACTCTTTCCGATAGTTTGTCGAGTCTTCTTCGTCGGTACAACAGTAGCGGGTTTGTTTTTTTACCCGGTTTGTTTGCACGCGAACTCTTCGAGCCGAGACTCAGCTGGTGGCCGCGGAAGCACTTCAAAGCAACGAGAATCGGCATCCGGTGATCGTATTGTAACACACTACACGGTGTATTATTTATGGATTTGAGGTGAGCTCGGTAGGTTCGTCGGCACAGCGGATTAGGCCTACTCGGGGACGCGCCACTATAAAAAAAAAAAAAACAACGCGCCCGGTGCAAAACCCCACGGGCTTTTCGAAACACGTCGAATGCGTGCCCGTAATGACATTTCATCGGCGCTTGTCGATGGCCAAGGCGGTGCGGAAAACTGCACGCGGGTCTGTATCCCCGTACATTTACGGCGATCGTTCCGATAAAATTCGATATTTTAGGCATTACGTGTTTTCTTTAATGTCTAATTGTTCGTTTTATATTGCACCGATTTCCCTGCGTTTTACACATTTTGATGAGAAAACTCCCGAGCAGATCGAAAAATTACCCCGTTATCGTACATCCCCTGTTCCGGTTTCGATTATAAATTTACATTAAATTACCCAACCACTGCGCCGTGCTACGGCCTCGCGTTTGCCCAGAAGAACTTTTGATAAAACGAAATGTCGGTATTGTGCACCGTTGCGTTATCCGTTTGTTTTTTTTTTTTTATTTCCGTCCGCGTTGACGAAAATCGCGTCTTTGTTTGTCACCGGTGCGTGGCGGATCGCCGAAACGCTCTCGTTTTCGAGAATATCAAATCCGAAGAAAATGACATTGCCTACACGCCGACACCGCTGCATTTCTCGGTCGATTTTAACCGGGAGTTTATTTTATTTTTTTATTCAATATTTCAACGCGAGTTTTTAACATTTGTTCGTTTTAACGTGTATTTTTCAACCGAATATATACGTACGCGCTACGTAACTCGTTAAACAAAAGTAATACGTTTGTCCGTATTACTGTGTTATACGATTCCGCAATGGCCTTTGATATATTATAGTGTTTTTTTTTTTTTTTTTTTTTT